GTAGTAATTTAAAGTCGTTTAATTTATTTTGTTTACTTTGATGCCTTTTTCATGCCTAGTTTCACTTGTTGTATGTACCTCAGTTCAATAAATTTCGATTAAATCATGTAACGAATTATAAAATGCTCAAAAGAGTTACACATGTGCAATTTCGTATCAAATTTATGTAGGCCATGTAGGAGTGTCTGCACGAGTTTACCCATATTATGGGCAACGGTGCGTATGAGCAACATGCACAATGTGACTACGTGCAAACTAGGGCATACAATCTCGAAGTATTTTAACATTCCGGGGATTTCGGGATGTGAAAAATTTTTAACTCGGTACCCCGGGATTAATAGGAAGAACAATAAAAATAAATCAAATTTGGTTTTTATCAAATAAGCCAAACGGCATATCGCCAAGTAGTTGTGAGCGAAATTTTTTTTTATTATTTTCTTTTTGAGCAGAAATGTTTCTAGAGCGTCTAGATGCACTCCGGCATCGAAAATAAAATTTTGAAAAAATTCTACAAATTCTGAATAAAAAGTTTGATGAAAATTTTACGACTTTTTTTTAACTATGACAAGGTTAGAAAGTGTGCGTTTTATGGATTTTTTTGTAGTATGAGCTATATTTTTATTAAAAATTAATAAAACAAAATATTTACAAAATATGAAATCAATACTCTACGATTTTGACTTACACTCACTGTAGTATTTCACAAAAAATTAAGCATCTAATTTATTGTCAGCGAGACTAGACCGTATTTTGTTGAAAGAGTAGCCACTTGTTTTTAAGTGCTACCAGATATTTCGTTTTTACGCAGTCCTTGCATGAATTATCTTAAACAGTGCAGTTATTCACAGGTTCTGAAATTCATTTCCAAGTACAAATGCCTCAAGTTAAATTTGAATCCGAATTTTGGTATTCTGTATTTCTCGTTTTTCAAATTAAATGCACTTGAACTGATTTTCCCATTTTCAATTTCACTTTCACTCAGGTTCTAGAACCTGCCTAATTAAATCTAAATCTCGGGATGCCATCGCTTTAATCGGGATTCGGGATCCTGGATTGAATGCGCTAGTGCAAACAATAAATTGATTATACGCATACATACATACATATATGTACTTATTTAAATACGCATACCAATGTAAGCAGCTGGCGCGTGCAGAAAATTGAACTGTTTGGGAAATGTTGTGCGCGTAACAAAACGAGAGTAGATGAACGTTGAAAGTAGTTCACAAAAAACATATTTGTACATATGTTTGTGTGTATTGGAATGATAATGAGGCTGACAAATATGTATTTATCCCTATAAATATTCAGACTCATTTTATAGTCAAAAAGTCTCAAAACTCTGAGTTGTAACGATCCTTATGAGCTCAAAAAAGAGGCAGAAAAAAACTTATTTCCCCTCTTAGAAGGGCACGCCCATGCGGGTCCAAATCTGTAATGTGACGCTTTTTGAGTCTTCAAAATAAGCACTCTTTATAGTTCTGTTTATTAATAAACTTTTACTTCTACGTCAACTTTATTACTTTTACTCAATGAATGAATTTATGGCACATAAGAGTGCGAAATGAGCCAGTCTGGTTACTGGTCTCAGATTCATATTTTTAACGAAAGATACGACTCATAAATTTTGAGCACTCAGAAATTGTTTAAAGGAAGACAGTCGCGGGCAAAAATGATCGAAGTCTGTGTGCGCATTTTCAAAATATGCGCAATGTTTTTGAAGTCAATTTTTTTTTTGTTATTTTTCTATAAACGATCTCCTTAAACAATTTTTTTAATTATAGTTAAACATTTTTTATGCATAAGATAAAATGTTAGACGTAAATTTTATTTTGCCAAAAATAAGTTCTCAAGCTGTAAGCAACTAATTGAAAAACTAATTTTTTACATCAACCGTATTTTTCTTTGACAAACGAATTGACTAAATAAGCAATTAAATAAACAGTTAAACAGCATAAATAAAAAAATGCGTTCCTATCAAAAAATGTGTTTTTCTTTAACATAAATCATTGGCAAGGCTATTTCAATTATAGTAGCTGGATTCTTTTTAATTCCGCTCCACTCACCTTTGAGAAAAAGCTGATAACTTAATATTTCTCAATTTGAAAATAAAGAAAAATTTCATGTTAAAAAAGTGCCTTTTAGTTTGAGAACGCTAACAACGGTTATTTGAGATTTAGCAAAAATGTTTATTGGGGAGTTCCGCCATAAAGGCTGTGTATGAACATGCAAGCGTGTGTGTGTGTGTGTGTGTGCCGGTATAAACCAATGCAACAAAACTAGCACAAAACAGCGTTTAATTAGAATGAGGATTATTGCAAATGTGCAACTTTTTGGCCTTGAGTGTGTGAGCAAAAACACACAAGAGGCAGAAGTTCACTTTCAATCAAGGGCGATAAAAAGAAGATGGGAAACAAATGGCAATACGTATGTACTTACCAAAAAAAAATATTCGATTACTTGAATTTGCGTCATACAATCGCATATCCGTAAAACGTAAGAGAAAGCAAAAAAAAGAGAGTTCTATATGTGTAGCAACTGCTGCAGAAGTGCGACAAATCAAACGACTGACAGACAAACGAGATCCAAATGTTACTTAGCGTCTGTTAAGTGCAGCATTATGTAAATTGCAACAGTAACTGCAAGAAAACCAACGACAAGTAAGGCCACCAGCAAGCCAGCCATGTACAGCCGTGCAATCTGCAGCGCTGCGTTTCTTGCTCTGCTAACTTTGCTTTGCTAACTATTTACGACTCATCTTCGTTGTTTTTTTGTGTGTTTCTGTTCGCATTTGGTACTAGGCCGCACGAGAGTACACACACACTTGAGTTAAGTGTCCACCGGCATGGTTTTCAAAGCTACGAAGCCAGCACCATAGCAATGCAAGCAAAAGCGTATGGCTGAGCCACAGTTTCGCTTTGGGCCAATTTCCCCTAGGCGTCAACTACTTTACGGCCCCCACCCACGCTAAATACCCTAGTCAGCTAGCAAACTGTGGCATTTCGCTTTGGAATTGCGAGCAGCTAGAAATAAAAATGTTAATTTTGTGCTCTGCAGCAAGTTTTCTTATCTGTTTGCTGCTGCTGGCGCTGAATTTACGATAGTTTTTTGTTTTAGTTCAGTGGGCGAATGCTTATGAGGACTCCCAACTGTGGCTAGGGCGATTATTGGATTATGAGTGTTCTTTGCAAGTTACATAAAAGTGTGGCAATAAATTGCGCTTTTGGTGGCTTAAAATACAACTGCACCAGAAATTATTTTATTAGGGGGGTGAAAAAATGTAGTAAGTCAGAATTGTTAATCAAAAACTATAGGTTTTAAGATTTTCAAATAAAAAAGACATATGTACAAACAAATGACCACGTGTGGATTTTTTTTAAATATTTGTAGTGTTTTTCGAGCAAAATTTGTTGTGTTATTTTTCTATAAAAATACCCCATCCAAGCTTTACCCAGTTTCAAATATTATAAAAAATTTTGGAAAATTCAACAAATTTTCATCAAAATTTCAACTTTTTAATCTGAATCTTTAGAACTTTTTTGGATATGCAGTTTTATAGCGCATACAATTTTAGTCTAATGAAGTTCAAGTTTCAACCGGCTAGACTACTTTTTCGGTTTGTTTTTTTATATAACAAGTGCAATTTACAAAAACTGTCGTTGATTTTTTGTAACTTTGTTGCTAATGGCCTCCCGCGTTTTATTTCATAAGAAATTCGTGGTCATAAGGAAAAAAGTGCAAAAAACCGTCCCCAAAAAAAAAAAAATCTCAAAAATCAACGGGATTTTTTAAGTCATTTGACACTTGCACTTGACTAAAATTGTACGGGCTATAAAACTGCATACTCAAAAATGTTCTAAAAGTTCAGATTAAAAAGTTGAAATTTTTATGAAAATTTGTTGAATTTTCGTAAATTTTGTATAAAGTCTAAGAATGTGATTTACATGATCTTGGTTAAAACCTTTTTTTATTTTTCAGCATTTTTCTTTCAGCTGAGCCCGATTTTTGAATTTTTATTTGTTTATATTAAAGTTTTTGTGCGAAATGCAGAACAAATTGCAATTTTGAGGAAAATCGATCCTCCTTTCTCAGTTAATAAATGTCACATAATCAAAACTAATTTGAAAATTGTAGGGTTCCCTCGAAACGAAAAAAATTTCACAAGAAAAATGTGAAATGTTACAAAAAAATTTTCACCATATTTAAAATTGGTCTCTTTCAAATTTTATAAGCTTCCATTTAAAAAAAATTAATCAAATTGAGTGAAAAATTAAGGCTTCAGTGAATTATGAGCACCAAATGCCAGTTTTGAACCACTGTGCGACCGCAGTTATAAAAATCTTTTTCGAATTTAGATGTTGCTCGAGTCAGCAATCAAAATATGGGGTTGCAAAAAAATAAAAATAAAACTATGCGAATAAAATAGGGGGAAAACCCCGCCGAAGTTAGGGACAGTTAAATAATCTGGACGTTCTGGGTTACAGACGGAAATATAATTTTGTGTAACTGATATAAAACCAAGAGAACATTCAAAACTTTTGTGTTGTAGGTTAGTTTAGATTAAGGTTGTTTCAGAAAGTCAAGACCATGAGCATCGGCCCTTTGCGATACTACTACGAATAGTAACTGGTAATTTTCAGCGAAAAACACAGCTGGCAGAAAGCGAATTTTAGCAGTTGGCAAAAGCTTGGAAGTCAAAGAGGAAGCAATTTTCCTTCCACCGTGGGGCGGTGTTGGCGAAGCATTTGATGTTGTTTTTTTAAAACTAGGTTGAAAATTTGATATTTGCCAAAAAAAAAAGTGAAATTTTGTTTAAAATTTTCTTGTTAATGCAAAAATGTTCCTAGAGCATCTAGATGCATTTCTGCATCAAAAATAATATTTTGCAAAAAATCGTTTACGTCTTTTTGGAGGCTATGGCTCGATATGATTACTTCGAGCTAAGTGACCAAGGTCTGTATGATGTTACATTTGGCAAAGGATTACTTTAAAATACTTACGATTAACTGTTCCTCTCTCTGTTACGTCAGCTTTAAAATAAGCTTGAATATTTGTTCTGAAAAAGAAGGAGAGAAAAAGCACAATCATAATTTGTTTATGTACTAACTAGTATCATATAATAAAGTGTACTTAAGCAATTTAATCATCCAGCCATTTAAAAAGTAAACAAATCATTAAAAATCTTTGCAAAGAGTGAAACAAGTTACTGTGGAACTGTTGTATAATTTTGTAGCATCTATTGCAAAAGACAACAGTTAAGCAATAAAACGCCTCCAAGAACGAAATTTTATAAGACCACGAACAGCAACACGCCCACATGTCAAATATATAAACAAACCTATCTTTTGCCAACAGACGCCTACATAGTAAGCGTACATAATTTTCATATATGTCATATATGTACATACAGTCGTGTGAAAATTTATAGGGACAAGATATTTTGAGCAGTTTCAGCTATTTTTCCATTCTTTGTTTAATGTTTATTATTTTTTTTTTTTATAAAAATACAGCTCATTGTCTGACAAAAATCTCATAAGTCCAAATTTCAAACTTTGTAGCAAAATTTGAAAAACCCAACAAAATTTTACAACAACAACAAACTTTTTATAAAGATTTTCTAAAATAGTTCTAGGTATTCAAGTTTATAGCCCATTCAATTCTAGCTTAAAAATTGCAAGTTTCAAGTAGCTCGAAATTCGCGTTAATTTTTGATAATTTTTTTGGCGGATAGTGTTATTATTTTCTGCCATAAAAAAAAATTGTCAACACACTTTGTATGGAAGAAAACGCTTGACACCGTACTTGAAACTTGCACTTATAATTTTTCTAGAAAATCTTAATAAATTTTTTTTTAAATGTTTCTAATTTTTCTACAAAGTTATAAATTAAGATCTATACTATTTTTGTTAGATAATTAGCAGTAAAAAAAAATAAACAGAACAAAACAATGGAACAATTAATTTTCAACCAAAAAACAAAAAATATCCGAAACTGTTCAAAACGCTGTGTTCCTATTAATTTTCACATGACTGTATGTATTTGCATGTCAATATAAGCAATTGCGCAGCGTAGACAAAAGCCTGCTATTTTTTTGTGTTTATCTAAGAATGTAATAAGTTATGTGTATAAATTTGTTCTTGTGTAATAAGTACCACAATCTGGCATCACAAGAGAACTCAAACATTGGCTGTCATTTGCAATGCAAATGTGTGGTTGTCTACAACTCTAAGGGCTGCATTTGAAATGAAATTTATGTGGGTAAATCGTAGAAGTAAGAAAAAGAGAAACAAAAATATTAAAATAAATCTTAGTCTGGTATATTTCTATGCAGAGGCCGTACCGAGTGTTTATTCTATGATAAAAAGCTTTAATATTTTAGTTAACTTTTGACTTATTTTAAAACAAGAAATATCGATTATGTTTAACAATTGTTTAGACGAGGTGCAAACCTCCCACTTTGTCAACGTCAAAAGTTCTTAAAGTCATTGAGAATCGAATTCATTGAAATATGCTATGCAAGCAAAAAATCATGTCCCGGGAAATTAGTGTCAGCAAGAACAGCATGCCACGCATCATAAGACGTGACTTGGAATTCAGCGCTCATAAGAGTCACATCGGGCATTTGCATCCAGCAGAAATTTTCGCTGCGGAATAATCGTTTTATATGCGTCCGAACACCATCGTTTTATTATAGCGTCCGAACACCATCGTCCGAACTTCAATTCCACGACTGATTGCCGATCTGATAGACTAGACCGGAATCGATTGGACTATAAATTATGGTCCGTTCTGGAGGTCATTGATTACACTACTCGACATCCAAGTGTTTTGTGCCTTTGAGGAGAGACCTTGTCCGAGAGTGGAAAATTTCCCAATGCATGGGGTGCATACTGAAATCGATGATAGGCCAACCCAATTTTGGCGGCTTTAGCCATTGGATATTACATACATACATAAATACGTTCCCACGACAGTCGGGGCCACGTAACCGGAACGACCCAGACTTATATCTTGCCACTGACTTTCACTCCAGCATCATTCTTCAAATACTCCTTACAATCGTTATTGAATCGGTATTTAAATTGTAATTGTTATCGAAATCGGAATCCTTATTGAAATAGTAATCGTTATTAAAATTGTAATCGTTATCGAGATTTTAGTCGTTATTAAATTGTAATCGTTATTGAAATTGTAATCATTCCGCAAAACCTCCTAGTAATTGTTATTAAAATGGCAATCGTTATTGAAATAGTAATCGGTATTGAAATTGTAATTGTTATCGAAATCGGAATCATTATTGAAATAGTAATCGTTATTAAAATTGTAATCGTTATCGAAATTTTAGTCGTTATTGAATTGTAATCCTTATTAAAATTAAAATCGTTATCGAGATTTTAGTCGTTATTAAATTGTAATCGTTATTGAAATTGTAATCATTTCGCAAGACCTCATAGTAATTGTTATTAAAATGGCAATCGTTATCGAAATTGGTATCATTATTGAAATGGTAATCGTTATTAAAATTGTAATCGGTAATGAAATTGTAATCGTTATTGAAATTGTAGTGGTATTTAAACTTATTGAAATAGTAATCGTTTTCGTTTAATTGCTATCATCGTCTGTTTTGTTATCGAAATTTTTTCGTTATCGAAATTTTAATCGTTATCGAAATTGTAGTCGTTTTCGAAATTGTAATCGTTATTGAAATTATAATCGTTATCGAAATAGTAATCGTTTTTGGAATTGTATTGTCAAAATTTTTATAGTTATCGAAATATTTATTGTTATAGAAATTTATTACACACATAGTAAAAATCGAAAATGTTATCTTTATTCAAATGGTTATAAATAGTTATTGAAATTTTAATCGTTATTAAAATTGTTATCGTTATTAAAATTGTTATCGTTATTGAAAGTGTTATCGTAATTGGGCTACCCGATGGCCAGTCAATCGAGAAATGGACTACGATTATGTTAGAAATGATTTTCAATTAGCTATTGTTGGCGTATGAACGTCACACAGTTTTGTTTGAAAGTTTTAAGGTTTACTCACTTGCGAATATTGCTAAAACGTGCACCTGATGCACTTTTCCGAAATTTTCACACTTTTTTTGCCAGAAACCGAGCTCATAGACGATCTTCCACCAACGCAACACAGATGCTGCGTAAAGGCAACGCTGAGCTGTTGGAGCGAATTTAAAATCAATAGAAAAAATTTACGAATTTTTCTGTGACCGCTCTGCAGGAGCTGCACATTTCTCCAAAAATTTTATTTTTATTGTTTTTATTTTTGTTATTCTAAAAATTATTAAATTTTTAAAGCTCAAAATACGTACATATGTATGTACATATAACCTTCAGGCCTGATTAAAATTTTATCCTTCACAAGACAAAGGTGGCTCTGTAAGTATTCATAAAAAACTCCGTTCCATCATTGCACTGTATCTCCAGTGCGTATACGTGACATTTATACAAGTTGCCTTTCTGTTTTTGTTTTTGTGTTTTTTTTGTTGTCTCCCAACTAAACTAGAAAATAAGTCCGAACTGTTACTTTGCTGTCGAATGCACTGACACCTATCACTTTAAAAGTGTATATTTTATTTTCTCATTCATTCACCGCAAATGCAACACTAATTAGTCTAATTAGAGCGAATTGCATGTACTCACCGACCAAGTGAACACCCACAAGATGACAACGTAAATAGTAACGGTAAAAGCAGCAGCAGCAGCAATAGCGCATAGCAATTATCGAACGAAGAAGTGGTTAAAGTGTGTTGGCGTAGCTGACGCAGAAAATTATCTATGGCAACGCAGAGTGGAAGCAACAACGCTGTGGGAGTAGCAGAGTGCAGAAGAAGCAGCAGCCGTAAACCAACACAATACCCACACAAATGTTGCAATACGAATTAGCAGTGCACTCATCGAGTTTCCAGAGCATACGCAATTGATGGTCGAATGAGTGGCCTGCACTGCAGAGATACATACATACATATGTATGTCTGTACAGGTGGATGATGTGTAGGGGTGTGGAAAGTGACCGCTATACTGACTATAGGCTAGCCAGTATGAATACAAACAAAAGCCTTTAACCTTTAACAATAATTGCATTTAAATTCACACAAGCGTATAACTAAAATGGCTATTGTTTGCAATGCATCGCAGCTCAGCGCAGACAACCAACCGAGCAGTGATGAGTGATGTTACACAGATACCGAGTGGTGCTGTAGATTCCATATTGCGGCCAGTGTATTTATGAGCTCAGTGTTGTTATTAGTGCTCAGGAGTGTGGAAAATAATGCAAGGAATATTATTTTAACATACATACTTACATAATAATACGAATATACAATGTATGTGCATACATGGTTGTGAAATTTGTCAGTCACTGCCAGTAATCTGAATAGAAGCTATAGAAATTTTCGATATTAGTAAAACTGAAAATGCGCACCAGCAACAATAGTGTTATTGTTAAACAAAATTTGGCAACACAAACACACGCATCAATGCACTTTTATTCGGTGTCAGTCTGGTGTGTGGATTTGGTTACAAAATATGCTTGACATATGAATTTTAAGGTAAACCGAAATTTTGTGAAAAAATATATATATACACAGGGGCATGGAAGCAACAGTCCTTTATCCCAAAACTCACACAATGCACTTACAAATATGTATGTATGTGCAGCCGGCTGCCACGCGTTGTGCTCTGAGCGAAATTAAGGTTACGTATACGCAATGTCGGGACACAAAATACAGTACCAATAAAAATTTCTATTCCTGTTTTTTTATTGTATGTGCATGCAGGAGCACAAGATAGTCGCAAACTCGCCCTGCTTGCTGTGATAGCGGTTGAGCTGTCAGGCGTGTCATGCTCGGGGTATTCATTGTCATGGTCGCAGCAGAACTAAGTGTGTAGATGTACGCAGTGTATATACACTTTCATACCCTATCGTTAATTTTCAAGCCAAGGCAGTACAGCGAATAATCCAGTTAATGCAACGACCCCAACGACCCCAACGAACTATACCGCTTTCAGTGGAGCTCGATAGCAAAGCAA